GACTGAAATGTTCTGTATCTGCATTGTCCAATAGAGTAGCCACTAGCCACATGTGGCTACTGAGCACTTGATGTGTGGCTGGTATGAGGAGGAAATGAAATTTTTCATTTCACTTAAATTAAATGCAAATTTAAACAGCCACATGTGGTTAGTGGCTACCAAGTTAGATCATACAGCTCTAGATGTTGGGAAAGCTACAATCACATATATTCCTTGCGGAAAATTCAAAGAATCTGTACTTCAAGAAGTCTGCAAAAATATATCGCCTTCCTGTTTCTTTCCACATTCCAACTGACAAAGAAACTTATAACCAGTCTTTCCACAGAATCAAAGAAGAATCATGTTACAGTCGAACCGCCATAGCGATCTGTCCTTAAAATTCATTCTCCCAGCCCCATTCTAGTAAGAAATAACAACGAATAATAGTACTGAAGCAGGTTTAATATAACTTGGGCATTACACATGTTGTCAATATTAAGTTTAACTTTAAATCTTACACTTACTGGAAAAGAAAACACAAACCACCCCCACCGTTTTTCTGTTGAGGGTCCATTTCAGGTCTCAAATTTCATTTACATAGTAATGAGGTATCTAGCACAAAGGTGGACATCTAATAGCAAAGAACAGTATGTAAAAAAACTATCCAACTGTTCACCCATCTATCCACCCTACTGTCCACTCATACATGTAACCCACCCAACCAGCCAGTCAGCCATCTATCTATCCATCCACCCATCTATTTATCCCCTGAATCTATTTACTGACTCACAAAAAATAGTTTTTCTCTCATCTACCCAGATAATGAGAGCTTAATAGAGAACAGATAAGCAGGTGACTATGTGATACATTTTTTTTTGAGATTGAGTCTTGCTCTGTCACGTAGGCTGGAGTGCAGTGGCACAATCTTGGCTCACTTGCCTCCCAGGTTCAAGTGATTCTCCTGCCTCAGCCTCCCGAGTAGCTGGGATTACAGGCATGCACCACCATGCTCGGCTAATTTTGTATTTTTAGTAGAGACAGGGGTTTCATTGTGTTATCCAGGCTGGTCTCGAACTTCTGACCTCAGATGATCCACTCACTTCAGCCTCCCAAAGTGCTGGGATTATAGGCATGAGCCACCGTGCCTGGCTGATACATTATTTTTAAGAGTATGCTTTCAGGTTAATCCTCAAAAGTAGAATAAAGAATAAAAATGAGGAAAATAGTTTGCATTAACTAAACATAATTTCAATTAGTCAATATTTATTGATCACCCATTTGGCACAAGAAAACTTGTGGGGCACTATGGAAGATCTAAGAATATATTAAAAACCTCTGCCCTCAACATTCTTAATAATCTCCCCAAAAATGTAAAGCAATAAATATATGAAGGCTAAAATAAAGAAATTAAAAAAACACTTCAAAACAGCAGCATAAAAGGTGTCACAAGATAATTCATGTCTCAGATAATAAGTCTCATATTTCAAGAGGGTCAGGAAATTTGGGCTAGAATGGTCCAACTTAGGGTTTTAAGGAGGAGACTTGAGTCAGATTCTGAATGGCAGGCAAGAAGACAGAAACAAAACAAAACAAAAAAAAACACCTAAGATTTTAGAACTTGAAGGGACCATAGAAATTGCCTGGCTTAACTTCATCATTTTATAGATGATTAAAGTAAGGTCGGCGAGTTAAGTGACTTAGTCCCACTTTCTCATATGGGTAGTAATGGCAGGAAAATGTCTAAAACACAGATTTGTTGCTCATTCGAAGCCCATACGCCACATGGGATGAGAAATACAGTCTTGTATTTAGGAAAGGAGAAAGCATTCTGGAGAGTGGGTGGGACACAGCATAAGACAGGAAACAGAGCCAGGAACACATCAGTGCAACCACCGTATATGAGGATATCAGTGTGCGTGTAAGGAGAGAAAGTACGGGAGGAGAGGGAGGATGGGGATCAATATTGAAGGTGCTTGAATGCAAACTTGCAATTGCTCAGCTGTGCAAATCCCCAGAATTCTGGTTTCTGAAACTGTCTTGAAGTCTCCCTTTGAGCTGGTGATGCCAGTATAAACTTTTCTAGAAACTTGATGTTCTTTTCACATTGACAAAGATTCAAGTTCATTCTGTGAAGGGGAGAACTACAGAAGGGAAGCTGGAATGAGGACTGGCAATGCTGGGCAACGTATGGGGGCAGGGATGGATGATTATCAATAGGTGCCTCACTCATGACTCAGAACCCTGGATTCAGTAGATTTAGGAAAGGGCCTAGGAATCTGTATGTTTTTAAAGTTCCCCTGTGATTCTGGTGATCATCTTGTTTGGAAGGTCTTCTGGTTCATTCATTCTTTCACCAGTCTACCTCTATACAGACTACCACCTTGAAAACTGACAATATTTAGTAAATATATGCCCCCTATGACCCAGCAATTTTACTGACAGACATATATTCAAGAGAAATAAACACTTACATTCCCCCAAAGACATGAATAAGAATGTCCAGAGCAGGTTATCATCATCCCCAAACAAAACAACCCAGTTTCCATCGGTGTTCACATGAATAAATAAACCAAAGTATATTCATGCAATGGAACACCACACACAATTTAAAAGAACAAACCACTGTTACACCTATCAACGTGGGTGAATATCACAGAGATAATGATAAGCATAAGAAGGTAGACACAAAGGAGTACTTACTATGTGATTCCATTTATATGAGATTAAAGAACTGGCAAAAATAACCTATGGTGATTGAAAACAGAATAGTGATTTCCTCTGTATGGGGGTATTAACTAGGAAAGGACATAAGAGAAACTCTGGGGGATGTTGGAACTCTTTTACATCTCCATCTGGTTATCCAGCTCAATAGACATATGTAAAAATATATTCAGCTGTTACTTGTTCAGTTTACGTGTATATAGATTACAGCTTGTTGAGAAGAAAAAATATAGAATCTATATTCCCCCTTCCAACCTCATGAGATATAAGAATCCCATTGCTTTTAAAAATGAGATGGATAGAAAAGTACAGTCTTAATCATTTAACTACCTCAATACCTATTCTTTCTATTGGAATTGGTTAGATGCACTACCTGTGATTCAGGCGATCCATCAGCTTTTTAAAGACCTAGAAAAATACAAAAAGTTAGCAATATGGGAGCTTCTAGTAATTTCTGAACTTGGCAAGGACAGGCAGTAACTATAAACTTACTGGGAACACACTGGAGCTGTGAAGGAGTGCAACCTGGCTTTTGAAAGAGCTTTCCCTTTCTGCTGATGGTGAACTTGGTCTGCTTTGAAACTCCAGAGAAGAGTTCCCTGCAGCTGCCTCTTTACGTTCCATGCCCTCACTTTCCTTTCTGTTTTTCTCCTCAAGATGAGAGTAAACACCATCTGTACCACTGCATTCCCGAACCCGGAAACCAAAATTTCTCCTTCCCATTAAGAAAATTACCCTCATCCTGAAGTGCCCTCGGCCATTGGTAACAAGCCACAGCCCTTCTGCCAGCTCCAGAGTTTGCCAGTCCTGAATCAACATATGAAATTGTCTGTGTTCATTGGTATCTGGTCGGCAGATGTACAGGGTAGGAGCAAGCCAAAGGGGAATAGAGGGAATGGAGAAATTCTGTTGAGTCAGTACAATGTGCAAACCTTGCTTCTGGGCCATTACTTTTCAGTCTTTGAAAATGTTATGTGCCAGGCAGTGTGCTTCAGGTAGCTAAGCATAAACACATGTCTACAAATACCGATAACACTATCTTTATTTGTCCATTACTCAACAAAGCCAGATCACCTGAGAACTGTTTGTTCCTCTATAAAATGAGAATCCAGCACCACACGTATTAAAATGAGAAACATTTTCTTCAGAGTATAAGCTTTCAAGAGCTGCGTCTATGTCTTTTCCGGAACACTCTCAAATCCTTCTGTATCTTTAACACATAACATACACTTGATTACAAGTGAATATAATCACTTTTAATCAGGTTTATTGCAGCAGTTTTTTTGGGTTGTTTCACCGTATGGTCTATGCTGTATCTGAAAGTCTATTCATTACTATGTCCAATTTCCAGAGAACAGAAGTACATAAAGTATGTTCAGTAATTTGTGTGAACAACCTGCAGCTATTTCTTGACTTGTTAATTCAGGCAAGTGCTTTTTACATGCTAGACACTTGATAAATATTCAAAGAATGAATATAAAGTTTTAAGACTGATAAATGTAAGCTTTTATGCAATGTGCTCACACAAGAAATGCAGTTTGCAAATATGCATATTTCACAGAATAAAAAACTGTAGTGAACTCCCTCTTCCTCCCCACAATAAGTCCCAAAAACATGGTATATGGAAGTATGTCAATAAAGATATTAAAATTAGAAGTCAATCTTGAATAGAGCTTTCTCCAGAAAAATTTAAAAACTCAAATAATGCTTGATTTCATTTAAGAGAGACTTAGAAAAACCAGCAAACGATTGTTCTGTCACAGAGAGTCAAATACAAAATCAGCTGTGGGAAAAGTTAAACTGTCTGAGAAAAATGAATTTCAGAGAAATGAGGCTCATTTTCTCCTCTTGGTTGTTTCTGAAAGAATGTTTTGAAAAAACGCGGTGGAACTTTCCTGTTCTCTGAAGGTTTTGAATTGCTTCTAAAAAATATTTGCCTGAGGTTTAAACTCTATTAGGTATGATTGTCTTTCTCACTGGTCAATTAATTTTGCAAAAAGGGAGAAGTTAGGGAAAGGCAATGCTAAATAGATATGTTCCCAGAAAAGCCACCTCAGTTTTCTGCTTAGAGATATTTTTTTCTCATTTGTCTCCTTCTGTCCCCATTATTCACTCACTTCTCTTTCTCAAACCAATGTTATACTCAAGAAGTCATCCTCAGAACAAAACCTGCCTGGATGGGAATTCGAGTTTCAGTAAAACTTCCCCTTGTGCAAACAGCTCCCTGTCCCAACATGGTAGTTCGTTTACCGAGGCATCTACCACCCTTGGAGAGCATGTAGCTTTCAGCCTGTACTTACCTGTCTGCTGAGAGCGCTGTGAGTGTGAAGACAGACACCCCAACAGAGGTAAGCTGGATAAAGGGGATCAGTTTGCAGCCAATCCTGCCAAATAGCCATCTGTCAGCCAGGTACCTGCTGGCATCCACTGGAGCACACGTTACCAGGAGGAGCAGGTCTCCCAAAGCCAGACTGGAAATAAACAGGTTTGGAACATTTCGCATGGACTTGACTGTAAGGAAGATCTTGATCAAAGTGATGTTGCCAACGAGGCCTATCAGAATGATAACCCCATAAACTGCAGGGATGACATAAAGGATCCCCGGCTGGGACCAGTCGTCGTTCACGGGGAGATCCTCACTGTGATTGGAGATGTTGCAGTGCATGAAATGGTCCACTTCCAAGTTTAGAAGGAAACAGTCATTTAGAGCCATCTCTAGATTTTTTCCCCACCTAAAAGTTCCCTTAGATGCTATTTCTTAACTATTGATTTTGCAACCAGGTGAAGATGAAGATGAGATCTATGCTGGGCTCTTTGTCTTCTTTAATAAAAATACTCTGAGTACATATATACTAACTATATATTCAAAACTGTCTATCACTATTTTGACACTGGTGCCACTCTGGCCTTCACATGACTAGTGCAGTACAACTCTAAATTCAATAAGTTAACCACAACAAATACTTAGCAACAAAAAACCTTAGAATTAAACCCACTCTGCATCAGCTCTTTCTACCCCCCTTCTAGTCTGAGTCTCCCTGGCTGCACTTGACTAAGAACTTTTGGCCTGCTATTTTCACACAGCATTTGCTGTCTTTCCTGATTTTTAGAATCTGAATGTTTAAAGTGGGTAGGAAAAAACTGCACTGAGAAATCCTCAAATCCTATAGGCAGGGTGCTTTGCACGTCACGGGCTTCACCAGCAAACAGCAGCTCCGCTGAGCCGCGGCTCTGAAGAGGAACCAGGGTTACTTATAGACAGAGAATGCCAGCCACCTGCTGGACACTTCAATCACTGCCCACTTGCCTGCTTTCTCCAAATGAGAATCAACCAGCCGATTGCAGTTCCTACGTGGCTTAACAGACACCTTTGGCTTCTCATGTAAGCACACAGCACCCAGGGAAGGTATTAAATAAATGTTGCTAGCACTCTGCACAGGCACTGGAAATCTTTCTGATACTATCCCCGTGAATCCAGATGGGGATTCATATCCCATTTTCTCATTTTTTCTAATTCATTAGAATGACATACTAAGATTGCTATCAAATGAGGTCTGTCTTTGAATTAAACACAAACTGATGCACACGGCATCCATATGTGAGTTACCCCACTCAGTTTTCCCGCTGCCTCTTTGAACAGGGACTGCTCCTCAGAAACACATGCACAGACTCACACCTTAAACCTTCAGCAACTGACATCTGGAAAAACCAGAAGCACAATGCACACATGCTCTTTCCTGTAGATTTGCCAAACCATTCCTATTCCATTCACCAGTGAGAAATTAAATTGGGAAACAGCTGTATTCTTAACTCTCAAAGATCAATGGTCTTTTCCAGAAAAACTGGTCTTTTCTTATCTGATCTAAAAATTTTATGAATCGGCATTTTGATGCAGCTATTTGCATTTTTAATTGAATGTTTGCCATGTTTTATAGCAAATATCCTCTTAAGCCCTGTGTGGAAAGTAAAGAACTATGAAAGAGTGATAGATACAATACTGAGGAATTGAGTGGGTGGTAAAAAAAAATTATAGTTGAAGGAGTGCTAAAAAAAAGCTTCATTGAGGAAGTACTATTAGAATCAGGCTTAGAACTTTAGCCAACAACTTCTAAATACATTATTAGAGTGCATCTTTATGACTTATGTGAAGCCAGCTCTTCCAGGTACATGACGTGAAGCCAGTCACTAACAGGTAAGGTCTTGTTTTTCGGAACCCATAAGGAATAACAAAACTTGCACTTACCATGCCAAGGCCCACCAAGAAAGCCCCCAATGTGTTGTTATGGACATTTCCAGTGGCAGGTTCCAACACTAAGTCTGCTGCCATGCTTCCTATATAAATATGAAAGACTCCTTTCTCTTCTTCTCCTTTTCCTTCTCTTTTCTCTACCTAAATAAAATCACCTTTCTGCAACAAACAAACAAACAAACAAACAAAGGCTCAGCACTCCTCACCGCCAGCAGTAGGGAGACTGATGCTGCATGGCTAGAGGTGGAAGAGCTTCTCAGCGGAGATCAGTATCACCAGTAATGAGCCTATAGCCATGAGCCCGGTGGTGTTGATTAGTTGCTAGCAGTATAGCTTAATGATGCAGTACACAGGCTCTGCTTCAATCCTGGCTCCCTCATTTATAACCGCAGCAAGTTACTTAGTGTCTTAAGCTTCAGGCTCCTCATCTGTAAAGAAGGATAACTTGTGAGGTTAGATGAAATGATTCATGTTAAGACTGCATTGTATTTAGCACACAGTAAGTGCTCAATTAATATTAGTTATTATTATTATTAGATTGAGGGGGAAAGGCTTACTTTGGAAAAGCCCAATAAGGTCAGAAGAGTGATTGACCTCAGATCAACAGGCAAGAACTCATACCAGTGAATTAGCGTCTCCTCTATTCACTTGAAAGAAATTTATCAAACATCTACCAGTTGCCAGGCACTGAGCAAGAGGCAGAGAAAAATAGCATGAAGATATGTACTCTCACAGCTCTTTAGACCACATCCCCTCTCTGGAGTGAAGCAACTACCTTTTCTCCAGAAAAGATATTATCTGATTTTAAAGATTAAGTGTTGGCAGTGTCTTTTGAATGAAGAAAATTGTATGTGCCTAGGATCAAGGCATAAAGGAAAGAGCATGGCACTGAACAAAGAGACATCTGTAAATCCAGAGGGTCACCCACATTGGAAGCCAGGGATGGAAAAAGAACAACATGAAATGCAGCTAGAAGCAGGTTTGGGTGAGATTGTGATGGATCTTGTATTCTTACTAAGAAGTTTGGTCTAGAGGGCGTATTTTTGGTTCACAAAGAAGACTTCTGGATGTTGTTTCCCTTTATTTCTTTAAACACCCCTGTGTACTGAGTCAGCCTCACTCCTTAAATCTAATTGGGTGGCTAGTGCTTCTTCCAGTGTAAGTTAAGGGGATGCTGATAGCTATCGATTTCTTATAGCTGGTGTTAGCATTATGTGTTCCACAGCACTACAGAGTCTTCTAATGGTATTTTAGGAGTAAAGGTATGTTGAGGTTTGACATCTAATATTTTCTGGGATCAAGGATGATTTAAAAAGCTAATTCGATAATTTCTATGTCATTTCAACTAATTAACTATAATGACTCTTTCCATCCCTACCATTATATGTCACCTTCCGGCAGAGCACCAAACATATTCAGACATTTGTTTAGCTTTTTATTTACTGGTGAGCATGAGATGCCTTTGAGATATGAACATGACACAGAACAAATATAAAATCTCTGTCCTCAGGGAGTTCAATTTATGAATAGAATTGGAGTATGACTCAGCATGTTTTCTTATGTGTTAGGCCAGGGTGTCACTTTGACATATGAACATGACATGGAACAAATGTAATATAAAAGCTCTGTCCTCAGGGAGTCTGATTTCTGAATAGAACTGGAGTATGACTCAGCATCTTTTCTTATGTGTTGTGGCAGAAGTGTCACTTCTATTTCTATTTCAATCGAGTCACATTTTTCGTCTTTCCAAAAGATTTTATTTTCTGTGGGGCTTTAATATGAGGTGGACAGTGACTTGGTAGAATTTAGGAAGACAGGTAGATTCAATGGAACCACAGAGAGTGGAGACAAAGCCTCTTCCCACTGGCTATGTGCAAGGGCAAATGGGAAGCCACTCTGGAGGGAAAGGCTGAATTTGGCTTTAGGCATACTGAGTTTGCCAAATGAACAAGGGAATGTAAGAAAGCCAATGGAAAATGAGAGGTGAAGTCTGAAAGCATAGAAGTAAATAATTAAAAGGACTGGCTGAGAACTAGAACCCTGAATGCAAAATAGTTTAAATGTAAAATAAGAGTCACAGAGAATCAAGTGAAGTTAGGCTTTGAGAAGAAGATTATGTGGTATAAGTCAGTGAAGACTAAGCGTGATTTCAATATTAGATTTGTGACAGCACCATGGAGAAGCTACTCAAAAAATTGCAGCAACCTTTGCTTGAGAAGAATCAGAGATGTCAAATTTTAGTACTGCAGCAGGAACAAAAGAGGCAGATGACTCTATCCAGATCCTGTAATGCTGGGATCATTTCAAGTTCCCTTTTCTATTCTCAACATTCTGTGACTTTTCATGGGGCTTGAAAACTTAGAAGAAAGATGAGGGAAGTCTTCTGGAAGAAAAAAAAGAATGAGGTTTCATTCTGAGGCACATGAAACTGCAGAAGTAAATGTAGATGCCAAGCGAGAGCCTAAAGAGGAAGATAAAATTCTCAGACACATCTGAGGCTAGAACACCTGGTATGGTGATTAAAATATATTCACCAGTTCTCAGTATTCTTTGCTTCAAGAGATGTAGATTAATTTAACCCCCACCTCCACCCCTTAAGTGTGAGCTTTACTTAATGACTTGCTTCTAACAAATAGAATGAAACAGCAGGAACAATGTATAACATCCAAGACTAGATGATAAGGGGCATTGCAGCTTCCTCTTTGCACTCTCTCCTTGGATCAATTGCTCTGAAGGAAATCAGCAGCCATGTCATGAGGATACTCAAGTGGCCCTATGGACAGATCCATGTGGATCTATATGCTATATACTATAGTATACAGTATAGTATACAGATCCACATGGACATATACTATATACTATAATATATACTATAGCTATGGACAGGAGGTTTCATGCAATATAGTATATATACTGTATACTACAGTATATATACTATATACCATATATAGTATATACTTTATACTATAGTATATGTACTATATACTATATATAGTATATATACTTTATTGCATGAAACCTCCTGTCCATAGCTATGTGAGTCAGTCATTTTTGAAGTAAATCATCCATCCCCAGTCAAGCCTTCACATAACAGCAGCCTCAGCTGACTGACTCTTTGACTGGAGCTTCATGAGAGTCCCTGAGCCAGAATCACCCAGCCAAGCCACTCTTAAATTCCTGATCCACAGAGACCATGAGTTAATAAATGTTTGTTGTTTTAACCCATTGTATTATGGTAATTTGTTATGCAGCCACAGATAACACCTGGTAAGTAGAATGGATGGAGAAGAGGAATAAAAGAAAACCACCCCAAAGACAAAAGAAAACAGAAAAGGAAGACCAGAAAAAGCAAGTGCTATGAACCTGAGTTGAACCTTGAGTGGTCATACAGGGTGTGAGGGAAGGAAAGTATGGTCAAATCTAGAAAGGTTGTGCAGACTAAAATTCATTTGTCATTCAGTAACACCAAAGTTTCTTATCTGGATCAAAATATGTTTTTGTTTTTGTTTTTTTGAGATGGAGTCTCGTTCTGTAGCCCAGGCTGGAGTGCAGTGGTGCGATCTCAGCTCATTGCAACCTCTGCCTCCCGGGTCCTGGTTCAAGCAATTCTTCTACCTCAGCCTCCCAAGTAGCTGGGATTACAGGCACGAGCCACCATGCCCAGCTAATTTTTGTATTTTTTAGTAGAGACGGGGTTTCACCATGTTGGCCAGTCTGGTCTTGAACTCCTGACCTTGTGATCCGCCCACCTCAGCCTCCCAAATGGCTGGGATTACAGGCATGAG